TATTATTGAATTATTATTACATAACCTTGAAATGGATATTTCAATATGAAATGGTACTGAAAACAAGAGTGATAGAAATTTGATGGGGTGTATAAGAGACACACACACACAAACACATCACTGGAGTAGCTCATCTTGACTACACAATAATTAATTTATAACTTGACATTTTGGAGATATGTGAAACAAACTAGTCTTAAATAACCTACCTATAACAATATAGAAAAAAGGTCACTGTTATTTAATATTAGGATTTGGGTTCTGGATCCTTCTAAATTTTTTTTTCATTTGCTTTCACTCTCAGTAGCCCTCTTGTATCTTAGTAGTATTAACACCTTTCTTGGCTTGAATTGATTAAAAAAAAAAAAAAAAAAAAAAAAAGCACCACAATCCAATTTTTGTTCCCTTATTACCAAATTCCTTATTAAGGAAATGTTTTGTTTTTCAATTCAAATGCACCATACAAATAAGACAATCAGCTTGTCCAATTTATAATGATTAAAGGAAAGTTTCTGCCAAACCAGAAAAGTTTACATATGATGTGTTATGTACTTTAGGACTTCATTGGACTAAAGTGATGTTTATACTGATGTCACTACACATGAGCATGAAGGAGAGAGCAATTTATAATAATGAATTCCTTTTAAATTCCACCCAAAAGAGAAATTCCAAAAATGTTATCATTTATAATGTGTTTTCTTTTATCTTTTTTCTGAGTATAACATTTTCCAGCTCTCACTTGTGTTAAATTAATTCTCATAGAAATTGATGAAAATCCAATAATGATATAACACAAAAAAGTAACAGTAAAGCATACAACCAAAAAATACTGCTCAAGTTGTCATGCAAGACAAATAATTACCAATTATAGAAACAAAATTATAATATCTGGCAGTGATACAGGAGGCAAATAAAAGAAAATATAATATTTATTAGGGTTTGATATTTATTGGCTGCTTATAACAGTTGAAATTTTGATTCATGCACAACTTACAAACACCCCAAAATAGCATACATATAATAATCATTGATTCTTTAGATTATCCCAGAAATTACACATTTCAAAAGAGGAAAAAAGAAAAAACACCTTTACACAAATATTAATTCTCACAGTATGAAACAAAAATCAAATCTTAATTGACCTTTTCTTTATTGGATCTTACCAAGCAATCATTTTTCTATTTTCAATTCACAACATTTATGACAAATTATGAGAAACTTTAAAAATGGAAGAAACCAGGAAAAACTTAAAATTCACACAGCACAAAATTTGTTTCATTAATAGAAAGAATGATTCAATTCTTTTTGAAAAACATTTTTTTTTACTAACATCTAAATAGAAAATGAAAAAGGCCAAAAGAAAAAAAACACTTGGCAGTTACTTAATGTTTTTTTTTTTTTTTTTTGTCTACTGACTGTACAGTTGAGAATGTCATGAGGTTATGCACTAATTAGAAAGAAACTGTCACACAATCTTTGTTCACCTCACAATAGCTTTTTTTTCCAAATCAAATGAAACGAAAGATCAGCCAATGACTAAATTATAATGTCAACTCACTGGACAGAATAGTTTACAATGAACTGAACTTAATTATCATCATGCTTTTCTATCAACACAAAAATTATTTGATGACATATATAACACACATTTTTTTCTCCAGGATATAAAGATTTCAAAACTTTGTAATAAATGTCCAAAAAAGTACTTGTTTTGAACAGAGCAAAATTGGAAATATGGATGAAGGTTCACTAACATTTGATGTTCCATTCAATCAATTTTTTTACCCTGTTGGAATGAGAGAGAGAGAGTATATGCACATACTTAGTCCAGTCTTACATACTGCTAAATATAGTAATTTGCTTGATCTAAACAATACACAAATATTATTGGAAGAAAAAAAAACAACAATATACAACATATAAAAGAATTCTGTTTAAACCTTGAAAATTACTGAATGGGAGTCTGATTGTCCTTAAATTTGAACAACTGAAGTGAAATCCTGTTATCATTTCACAAATTATTTCAAATCAGTATCCCCATTTTAATCATTTTAGTCAGTGCACTTTCTGACTTTTCTCAGACATATGTCATCTATTCAGCTTCATAGAATTTAAAACAAAATTCATTTGTTTTGCCCTACACAAGTTGTTCTTACTATCCATGTGTTTTTCCATTGTCTTTTGCAGGGATTGAATTAAATCCTTTACTTCAGTGACTAAGAACTGTAGACAGATTCTATAATGTTCAAGGTAAAGATACAAGATATTACTCAAGCATTAGCAACATTTTCCTAAACTTCCAAGATTTCCTTCCCTTCTATTTAGCCTTGTGCCAGACGAAATTCAATATTTATCATCTGCACAAGAATATAAAAAAAGAATTCAGGTCAGAAGGATTTCTACCAAAATAAGATAAGGATTAAAGGATTTGGGATTAAATGAAAGAAATTAAAATGACAAACTTTTCAAAAAGGATATTTGAAATATCGCATTGTAATAT